TTATATTAAATCTCTTTGCTATACAGGGTGTTAGTATATTCGACCGACTACGCTCTACCCCAGAAAGCTCTCAGCTCTCGTTAATTGATAAATTTTGATGTAAGGACATGAAATTTTATAACAGTCTTATACAGATCCATTCACGATACTACGAACACGGTCAAACTGATGACCAATTTACCCTTGTCCGCTACTGTCATTCCAAAGCTTTCGCATGTGACATATTTGGAATAACTTTATACATTTCACGACAGAGTTGAGTATTAATGAATATTTTATAAATAAATGAAGATAAAAAACAAACATAACATATTTAGACATGAAAATAGCGAAATTTAATAATGCAACCATCAACCAGAATTTGTAATAATAAACAAAATTTTGAACAACTTTAATAGTTGTTGACGTAGCGCAGTGGGTATTAGTGGGTAAGGTGTTGTAGAACAGAAGTAAAAGTTGGAAATGCTTTTGCCAGTTCTCCCACTTTATACACATAAATTGACAGGTTGGCAGCGGATCTCACCGAAGTGGACGCGATACATTGGCGTACAAAATTATTTTATAGATGTTAATAACAAGTTCGAGTAAATAGTTTAATAAATTGTGAATAGCTGTTGAAATTTTGTAAAATTATAATTTGAATATTATAATACATGTTTAATAATTATTTATAATCCATAAATACATGCGATTGTCCGGTTCCGCCGATAACAATTTAAAATTACTTATTCTATGAAACGACACTGACAGGTAAACATTACTGTGAAATTCTCGGAGCCGCCCGACGTGGTTTGACGTTTACCCCCTCTCTACCTACCAAAAGACTCGAATCTCGGCACAGACTTTTTTTTCTTTTTTTTTTATTTTATTAATTTTCATTTTCTTTTTTCTCCCCTCTACAATAGTAAGAACAGCAACAGTTTAAAATTTATAAAAAAACAACTTTGATTTTGTTTTCAAATGGAAAAAAATTCAATACAAACATTAAAAAATAGAGAACAAACATTGAACATTAAAAAAAAAACAAAACGAACTTTAAAAAATTACATAACTAAGATTAAAAAAAATACAAAAATTAAAATTAAAAAATTACAAAAAAATAAAAATTATAAATTGGAATCCAATAGACAATAATAAATTACAATCAATAATAAAAGAACACGAATTTATTTTTAATGTAATAGGTGCTCAAATAGACCTCCTTCTTGGGCAAGACAGTACCCCCAAGCGATCGTAAAATGATCGCCTTACTTCAGCCAACATATTGGGACTAATAAGTTGAACAGCTTCTGAAATTTTCACTTTCAGCTCATCTAAGTCGTTAGCTCTTTCTTCCCTGAATTTGTATATCTGAGACTTTAAATAACCCCACAAAAAAATCACAAGGTGTGAGATCCGGCGATCTAGCTGGCCACAGAATTGTACCTTTCCCTGATAATAATCTGTTGGGAAATGTTTCATTTAAAAAGTGCTGCACCGTCACACGATTATGCACAGAACATCCGTCTTGTTGAAACCAAATATTGTTAAATCGAGCTCCTGCCAATCGCCATATCTCGGGGCAATATGGTGTCTGAGTAAATCCAAATATTTAACACTATTTAAATTACCCTCAATATAAAAAGGACCGATTACATTTTCACCTAGTATTCCCATCCAAACATTCAACTTTTGCGGGAACTGCATGCGAACTGTTACAAATTTATGTAAATTTTCTCGAGACCAATATCGGACTTGGGATGGATTATGCCTGGCAAGTAATGGAAAAGTCGACTCATCGGTGAACACAACATTGTAAAGAAAATTGTTGTCATTGTTAACTTTATCCATTACTGCCTCGCTAAATTCCATTCGTCTGATATTGTCAGTTTCATAAATTTCTTGGCATTTTCTTACTTTATAAGATCGATATCCATGTTTTTTTAAAATTCTATTTACTGTGGTTTCACTGGAACCTACAACTTCCGCAACCTCTCTGAGATATCATCGGATTTTCTTCCACAGTTGCACAAATCATAATATCCCTATCTTCTTGTTCATTCTGATTATTATTAACTCGAGCCTTTTTATGTTCATTGAGAGAAACGCAGCCATGAATTTCAAAATTTTGAACAATACGATGTACTGTTGAGAGTGATGGTATGGGCCTATTTTGAAATGTCGCCTCAAACAAACCGCTTATTTGTCGAATTGTGTTGCCTTGAAAATGCCATTTCACAATTTGTACTTTCTCAGCAATTTCGTAAACATTCATTTTAAATCTAAAGAAATACTTTTCGCCCGCGATAAAAGCACAAAATTTGAATGTGACAGTTGCGGACAAGCGTCAATTGGTCATCATGTTTACCATGTTCCTAGTACGATGGATGAATCTGTATATGGTGTTAAAAGTGTTAAATCAAAATTTGCCATAAATATAATAAATAAAATAATTTTTTTTTCTTTCAAATTTGATTTACCAAGATCTCCAATACACGGACTATTAAAAATTTGACATCTGCCTTGGCTATTAGTTTAGTATAGAATTTAGAAATATTGAGTTGTTATGAATGATATAAGTACATGCATACTTTTATTTAGAAGCAAATTTCTACTACACCGTTCGTTTTAGTTCCTTAAAAGGGAAATACTTTTTTAACTAAAAATTAACGGGGATTAAAAAAAAATAAAAACAAAATAAAAAATAATTGGTCCAGTAGCGTAAAAAATAGTGGTAGGAAGTTGTCACTAACACTGATAGCACGCCACTGGTTAACTTTTTCAAAAGTTAGTTTATGTCAAAATATTACTTTCTTAAAGTGCATATTGGTCACCAAATTTAAAAAAATATATATTTAAAGGCGTTTTTGATTTATGGCAAATTTTGAATTTAGATTTCAAATTTTTAACACCCTGGGTTTATGTTCGTATATCAAAATTACTCAATTAAAGATAGCTTTCTGGGGTAGAGCGTTGTCGGTGAAATATACTAACACCCTGTATATGTGAAATATATATTTATGACTAGTTATTACACTATTTATGACTAGTTATTACACCATTTATGACTAGTTATCACACCACTCAATATTTTGGGAAATTATCTGCTACGTAAGAAATATATAAAATAGGCGGATGAAAATGAATGAAAAATATGACTCACTTGTTCCGAACATTTTTTATTTATGTTCTGAATAATTAAAGTTCAATTTATTTAAAATTAGTGTCACGACAAAGATGCACCCTGTACCTAGCTGCCTCACTTCTCAGTCTTGAAAACTATCAAGACAAAAAATTCGTCTTCTTTCTTCCTAATGCTAGACATTTATGCTTTTATCCAACGACGAAAAATAAGCCCTTTTTTTATTGCAATCATTCAGATTATGTTTATTATTACGCAGACAGAGCTGTCGCATTGGCTGCCGCATTAGAAAGAAAGATACAGATGCTAATTTGAGTGGGGGTGGTTTGTGCGAGTATGTTTATCTGAGAAGCGAGCATCCTTTTTATGAATGAATTAGTATTTACGTCTACTGTGCTTGCTTTACACTGCTGTCACGCTTTAATATTAATTGCGTACTTTCCTGATAAATACTATACAACTATAATAGTTGCAACGAGAAAAATATGTTAAACTGATAATAACTGGCATTAAGAATGCAAATACACTTCCCTAATGTAATTTTGAAAGTCTTTTGTGCGCCTTATGTTTAGTTAATACCGAATTATAACCATAAACAATCCTTGTAAGAATACTCTCTCATATTAATTTGACAACTACATGGAAGACACTGTGAACGTTTGCAATTCGATTTTTATAAACAAAATTAGTCTAGTAGTGTTTCGTCATTGCTTTTATCAGATATCTTTTAGCTGAAATATACAATTACTCTAGCTAAATATAAATATGTTTAAATAATTTAGGGGTCCGGAAGTCTGGCTGAATTATAATTTTAATGTTACAATCTTTGTAGACATTGAAACAAACCATACATTCACTAAAAAATTACCACTAGTTGCATCACCATTGGCAAGCCAAGGTAGTGACCTTAAATTGTTAAACACATCTTATTGGTTGACAAAAGTTGAATAAGATAATCAGCTTTTTAAGACGATGATATCGCTGTGTTTTTAACGATTTGAATACAAACGCCCGAGAACAATAATTGTGATGATTATATTTATTTTTAACTAAAATTTGTTCGATTATTATTTTTTTTTTTTTTTGTTATACATCATTTTGAATGTGGTAAGGGTTTCCCAATTCCTCAACTTTATTTTTAAACCAAAAAAAAGATAATTTAAAGCACGCAATTTTATTTCAATTTTTCATTTTTTATTAGGTGAAAACGATCATCTGTATCCAAATGAGACATAGTGGTGTACAAAGAAAAACACAAAGTCCAAGTCACAACATATCTATTGAAATTTGTATTGTAGTTTTTAAGATGCTTTGTATTGTTTGGAAATTTTGTAATAGGTACTTTATTGATGACACTCTTTGCCAAACAATTAGAACATTACCTCGCTCTTGATTTTTTTTTTTTTATTGAAAAATACTTGTAGACATTTATATTTGTTAACTGTATGATAGAATTTTGTCATTGTTTAACATTACTAATTTGAGAACAAAATATTTACAACATTCTTTATGAATAATATAGTTATTGGGATTAGCCAAAATTACTTTTATTAAAAAATTATAGCGATTTAAACAATATCAACACATTTTGCTACTCTCCTTCTATAATTATTTAAGCACCTATTGTTATAATTGCAAGGTCGAAAAATTTTAAAAACCTAGTCATATTGTTTTCAATCTGTGCTACCTTTTGCAATAATTGTTTTTGACATGACGTGTTCTGTAAATGATTTAGAAGTGCACTAATTTTGATGATTTTTTTTGGTACAATAATTGCATTTTTTTTTTATTATTTTTGTCAGAGGGTTGATTAATTTTATTAAAAATAATCTTGTCTTTCATATTATCCTAATTTATTTTTTTTTTTTTTTAAGCACAGATATACATATTAATTGGGTATATATAGTTGTACGAAAAAGAAAAAGGTGGTCTTCAACTGAGCGCAAGTCCACCCCAGCACAACGGAGAGCCCCAGGCAGACGGGGCCACAAGCTCGTGTTTCGGTGAAGGACAACGCTCCTTCCACCAAGCGACGCTGGGTCCCACCTTCTACACTGAGACACCAAGATGCTCTTACGCCAGAATCCCGTAACGACCTGGTGTTCCGTAAGGTGAGTATCAAGGGAATGAAAACAAATTATTTTTTATTCCCAATGCTGATAAGATCTATCTAGATTATATAATTTTTAAGAATTTTAAGCTTCAGTATAAACTTACTAGCTAACTTACGTAGACAGTTGGCGGCATATGTAAAACTGTTATTAATTTTAGGGGAAAAAAAACTTGTGCATGGTCTAAATCCTAAAATGCAACCATCTAATATCAAATTTTTTGACGACTGAATTTTTTTTATCTTTTGATATCTAATGATTGTATTTTACGTTTTAGGTGATGCAGAACTTTATGAAGAATAAGTTTTTCTTCTTCTAAAATTAGTAATAAAAAAGTTTTCCATATGAATCCAACTTAAGTAGACAGACTGTATATAATTCGAAAAAGTCTTTAAATTCATCTAATTGCTCAAAAAATTGTCACACATATCATTTTTGTGACTAAAGGCATTCACTTTTTGTTAAATCAACATTTCTATTTTTATCATAAAGCCCTTCTAATCCTATCTTCCTAAGTGTAAAATTTGGAGTGGTTTCAAGTTAGGTAGATCGTCCTCTTCTAACTACAGTGTCCTTGGATTCTGAAGTGCTACACATTCAGTCTGTGAATGGAGGTTTCGTCTTCCTCACAGAATCTGTACTTACTCTCTTCTTCTACTACTCTCAGTTTACTAAAGTGTCCTGTCTGGCAAATATCCACTTTACAGTGTGTAGCCTGTTCTTGCTCAGGCAGATACAGACTTCTGATCTTTTCGGGTTATAATTACCCAAAAGTATCTTAACCCCAAGAGATAGTTCCAATTATCGGTTCTTCTAATGCCCAATTATTTTAATATTGTGTTACTGCTGAGTGCCTTTTGAGTCTGCAATACCCGGTAAGCATCCCTGTTATAGTATGTAGCCTATTCTTGCTCAGGTAGATACAGGCTTCTCCTAGAAGTATCTTAGCCTGTTTTAACTCCAAGAGATTGTTCCAATTATCAGTTTTTACCCTGCCCATTTCTTTTAATATTATGTTACAGAACAGCTCAGCAGTGAAATTCTCATCTTTTGATACAACATAAGCCGAGACAACTATCTTCATTTGGCAGATTGTGATTCTTATGTAATGTCTCTATTCAACACATAAGAATCCCTGTGCAGGTTCCACAAATGGTGTTTAAGTCCCTTTCCTTATATTTTATTAACTTTTTATTAAAAATTTGAAAATTTATAATCCTAAAATATTTTAAAAATTTATTGCTATCTGCAATCTCGTTATCCTTTACCCTATTGTGTCCCAGGACCCAAGTGAGAGTAACTGCATTTTCTAGGAATCTTGATACCATTTTTGAGCTGATTATGCTTTGATGGCTGCTTGGCTATCGGACATGATAATCTCTTATCTGTGATAGTTTCTCTAGGTGTTGAAATGGATACATTTCTCAATGGCGTGAATTTCCGCCTGGAAGATGCCTAAACTTTTAGAATGTCTGGTTCTAGGCTTATACATTTCTTTAAGTGTAAAGGTTAAAGAAAAGGTCCTTTATTTCTCACAAGTCAATTTATTGGCGACCGGTTTCGAAGTTGTCACTTCATCATCATCTTAATCCCTACTACTCACATATGGCTACCCTCATTCCAAATTATACATTTCTATTCCAGTTCTTTCTATGGTACCATCTGTATACCACTGAATAGCATGTCCATTCTTTCTTGCAGTCAAACTCTGTGGTTTTAAAGTTTTTCAAAAAACTATACTTCCCATTTCGTCCTGGGTCATACCCCAAGTATCTTCGGTCTTGAAGGTAATAAATAGACTTTCATGTAATTACTCCGTTTCTGATCATTCTATATCTTGTCCTTTTTGCCATATTCTCTTTCATTAAGTGTACAGGGGTGAGGTTTAAAATCACCTCCAATGCGGCTGTAGGACAGGTTCTCATTGCACAGGTGTTGCAAACACAGGCTAGTCTTTGTACTTTTGAGATATTAGCTCTCGTAGTAGCTAAACTAGTTCTGTTTCTCCAGGCTATAGCTCCGTAAGTGATGATTGGTCTTACTATTGCAGTATACATCCATCGCAATGTGTTCGGGTTACATCCCCATCGTTTATCCGCAATGTTTCTGCATACCATTAGGGCTTTTGTGGCCTTATTTGGCCAGTCTTTTTTTGTCAGCGCACCCTGGATTTCATCAGTCAGCTGCATAAGAGCACTTTCTGTAGATCTTCCTGCTCGGTACGTGTGCTGGTTGTGGAGGAGCTGCATCCTCTTCAGAATTACTGTTCTGATGTAATTCTCAACAGCCTTCTCCATTGTTTTTAATACAAAGGATGTTAGGCTGATTGGTCGGAAGGATTTAGGCTGTGTCATATCCTTCTTTTCCTACTTTTGGAATAAAGGTGACTCTGGCCCTTCTCCATAATTCTGGCATGTATCATAGTTTCAGACTGCTCCGGGATATACAGGGTTGGGCATAATTGGCGGAACACCTGATTTGTGGCTCAATTATGGATTGTATTGAAAATTAACCCAAATAAAGTTTTTTGTATATTTTATGTACTATTTAATGACGCTTGGGGATTTTCATTATCTGTCATATTTATCAAGATATGACGTCATCGGATGAAATTTTAAATGAATCACCCTATATTTATATTTTTTTTTCAGATAGATCTTTTCTTTCTGAATCCATTAATGTAAGGTTTGAGGGTCTCCGAGTTCATAACAAAATAGAAAGTAAACATTTATTTAATAAAAAATAATAATTATTATCAATCGAAGTATTACAAATCTCTCAAAGTAAGTGTTCGAAGTGAAAGCCTCCAACTGCCTGACAATATCCTAGTCTATCAACAAATGATCTTAAGGCATTTTGATAAACTTCAGGTGTTATTTCTTGAACAGCAATTCTTATTTTGTATTCCAATTCTTCCAGCGAATGTGGCAGGTCCTTATAAACTACTGATTTCAAATGGCCCCAAAGAAAAAAATCCAGTGGGGTTAAATCCGGTGACCGTGCCGGCCACTCAATATGTCCTCTTCGACCCACCCATCTCTGTGGAAATATTGTGTTCAGGTACTGCCTCACTCTAGCATCGAAATGAGGTGGAGCACCATCTTGCTGGAACCAAATTTCATCAGAAAGTTGTAAGTGATTTCTGTGATTTGGATATAAACGAACTAACTCTGGAACTATCTGCTCTTGAAGTAGTTGCAAATAACGATCACCGTTCAGAGTTCCTCTCATGAAGAATGGTCCAATAATTCTTCCTCTAACTATACCAGCCCAAACATTTAACTTTTGTGGATATTGGGTGTGACCTTCTTCCATCCAGTGAGGATTATGATCAGACCAATACCGGCAATTATGTTTATTTACAAATCCATTGAGACAAAATGTTGATTCGTCGGAAAAAACAATGCTGTTCATCAACATATTATTTCCATTAATGGCATCCATCATTACCTGGCAGAATTGCATTCGCCTATCTGGGTCATCTTCATTCAATTCCTGGTGTAATTGCACTTTATAGGGATGAAATTTATTGACTTTCAGAATCCTCCTTACAGATCTCTCGCTCATATTATTGTCTAACGCAAGCTTTGGAACTGAAGTTTTTGGTTCTTCCTGTACACTTAGAACCACATTAAGTGCATTTTCTTCATCAGTGGCTGTCTTCTTCCGTCCAGATCTGGGATTATTTTTCACACTTCCTGTTTCATTAAACTTGCTCAAATTTCTGGATACTGTAGATTTAGAAATCGGGGAAATCCTGTCAGGAAATGTTTCATTGAACAAATTACAAGCTTCTTGCAGAGATCTCTTTCTGTCTCCAAACCCAATAATCATCAATAGTGTAATTCTTTCACGTTCACTCAGTTCAACCATGGTTTAAATTAATAAAAATTCTCAATAGTATCAAATGCTAAGAGTTATTTATTTTCGCGTATTGGGCTAGTTTGGGTGAAATGAATTGACTTGCAATTAAACTCAACTTGTTTGATTGTCTCCATAAACCAGAATGAATTAAAATCTACAGATTAATAAAAGGTGACAATAGTTTTTATAATATTATAAAAACCAAGTAAACAGTAACACAAAAACATTGGTAGGTATTTCTGTCAGAGATGTACAATAATCGTATTAATAAAACTCAGTGATTAATATCGAGATGTCAATATTACATTTTAATGTCAAAAAGTGAAACCATGGCAAAACAATTGATATTGGTACATTATGATGGCACAGACAACTTTGTGAATAGTTATTCATTAATTATTTAAAAGAACGTTTACCATTTTGTTTTATTATTTTCTGATGATAAGGAAAATCAGAGACCACCCGAACCCCATATTGATGGATTCAGAAAGAAAAGATCTATCTGAAAAAAAATATAAATATAGGGTGATTCATTTAAAATTTCATCCGATGACGTCATATCTTGATAAATATGACAGATAATGAAAATCCCCAAGCGTCATTAAATAGTACATAAAATATACAAAAAACTTTATTTGGGTTAATTTTCAATACAATCCATAATTGAGCCACAAATCGGGTGTTCCGCCAATTATGCCCAACCCTGTAGAGATTTAATGTGGTAGTGTTTTCACCCTTGCCCATTGAAGCAGGCGGGAAATATTCCATCTACACTTAGAGAGTTAAATGGCTTAACCGAATCCAGCTGCAAACGTCTTTGCTTTGGCCACTGAAGTGGCCTCTCTTGGAGGCCTGCTTAAAGATGAATAATTTATTTACTGTAAATTATTTTTCTTGAATTTGATTGTTTCTTGTTTCAGTAAACAGACACATACATTCATTTTTGTCGAGACTTAGAATAGGAATAGAGACAGTTCCTTCCAGATACCAATTACCCAACCATATTTTCATATATTATGAAATAGAGTATATGTGTGTTCAACATATTTTTTTATTTTTTAGGTTCGTGGTATTCTCAACAAACTCACACCAGAGAAATTCAAGAAGCTGAGCGATGATTTGTTGCGTATCGAACTACAATCCAACGTCATCTTGAAGGGAGTCATCTATCTCATATTCGAGAAGGCCCTCGACGAACCCAAATACTCGTCTATGTATGCGCAGTTGTGCAAACGACTGGCAGAAGAGGCACATAATTTCGAATCCCCCGATCAACCCTTTAGAGTTCTTTTACTTAATAAGTGCAAGGTCAGTAAAAACAGTAATTAAAAAAAAAAACTAATATCGTTGGTGTATTGCCAAAACAATGTTTGTGTAAATTTGTAACATTCATGTTTTCAGCGGTAGAATATTTATTTACTTAAGGTTACCTCAGGGTAAGCTGCTTCCCTGTAAATAGTTTGTAACAAGTTTGCTTGACCTCGACAGCAGCGCTAAGCACGATATGATAAACTATAATTAGGTAAAGTAGAACACTACTAATTAAAGCGATTTAAAAAATGGCGGCTCCAAAATTTATGAAATAATAGTAAATTTTTGCAATTAACATAAAAACGTTATACCTACATTATCTGTTTTTAATAAAAAAGAAAAAACAGAACTAATACTGAAATTTGGGTATTAATTTTCCTCACTAAGCGAATACATTTTCCCTGATCAATTTATATTTTTATAGTTTTATATTATGTATTCTATATGTCAAATTGAAAGATTGTTTTATGCCTAATTTACAAAAACTTTAAATTAGTTAGTATAAATCTCTTTCAAAGTTTATCAGGCAAGTAAATTGTAATGATCATTCATGCAACTGGCTTAGTGAAGCATTTTTTTTCTGACTCCTTCATCCATTAATATTCTCATGCTCTGTGTTCAGTGCCAGAGTTGCCTAAACATATGAAGACCATTTGTTTTGAAATGTTATTGGTTAAGCAACTCTGGCACTGAACCACTATTTTATCCTTGTATCCATCTATTCATCTATTTCAGTCCAGTTTAGTTGCAATGTTCTTTCCAAAAGTCTCCATACCCAGGGATATCTAAAACAAACAAAAAATAAAATTAAAAATCGGTAAAGTATTTTACCCAGAACTTCCCTCCATATAGAAATTGTAAAAACAGGGAACTCCTAAGCACTTAAATTTTAATAATTTAAAATTAAAACCACCAAAACAAAAACCTTTTCTCACATTCCGCGTCCACTCGGCATTTTTCGCCAGGATCGCCCTTGTTGAACAATAATGATTGGCTGCTTTTAAAATGGTCCAATTACACAAACCAAAAGGACAATTTTTATTATTTCCATTCAAGGAGGCCCTTTTTTGAATAAATACGATTCCTTTCAGCGCCATTTTGAATTTTTAAAAAAATATTTAGGATCTGTAATCTTTAGCCTCTAAAATTCTAAGGTACCAATTTTAGTCGAAATATGCAGACTTTTAAAAATAATGTTTATTTTAAAAACTGTATATAATTGTTCGGAACTATAACTGGTTTTGAGCCAGAAAGGAACCTTATCTCCATACAAAATTTGAAGTTTTTCTATAAAGCCGTTTTTGAACTATCGCGCCAACAGACATACCGACGGAATGGAGAAACATGTTTTTCGTATACTAGGGATTCTAAAACGTGAAAATCTGAAATAATCTCTGAAGGTTACTTTTTCACGATTACAATACTTCCCTTTTATAGAAGGAAGTAAAAAATTATCATAGGTATATATTATTTTTAATTCTTAGAAATATCCTTACAATATTTTCTTATAATAATAGGTACACAAATTTAAAATAATTTCAAAAAAACATCTGATTTATGCTCTTGGCAAGCGAATCATGCAAAATTAACATGTTCACAAAATTTAAAATTAGTTTAACTAGTTGTCCATATTTGGGTAGTGTTTGATAAATATATTCATGAATAGTATCCAAAAATTGAACAATTTCTTTTTGATCATAAATCAAATGTCTTTTTTCTTCATATTCCCTTAAATGTGCAAGTGAATTTGATGAAGGCATTATAAGTTAATGACATCCTTAGAACCATGATATATTTTTACAGCTATATATTACTTAAATCTAACTAAAACTAAAATAATTAAAAGATTAATAAAATTTTACTCATCTACATTTTTCACAAAAATATCTGTCATGTTTTTTCAGTACAACAGCAACGTAACCTAATTTATCAAAGCCATATTAACACCACCTCATAATATTAAAATTTAGCTTTAACTTTATATATTTATAACAATTATCCCTGTATTTGATCATATATTGTATTAAAGTGATATTTAAAAGATTGCATTAGTAAAATTATTAATTTCTTTAATATCTGTTCATTTTATAATTATTATATGTGTGTAAAAACGACTTTATATTTAGTGATGCAGCACATGAAGTGCCATATGATAACTACAAACAAGGAAACAATTCCCGCCTTTTATTCAAACCTTCTTTGGTTTTGCTATGGGTTACCTATTATATATAGTAAACTAGTTGCCAATAACTATATTGAACTTCTTAAATAGTTACTGTAATTATACAAAGCGGTTTATTATATGAACTTTATTAAAATACTCTCCTTAAAAATTAATAAAACATACACGGTTTTGACATGGAATCAACGATATGGCATATTTTCCAAATTTAACAGTTAGAACATTCTGAATATTTTGATTATTTTGTATGAGTATTTGGAGATTTTTTGGATTCAGATACTACAGTCATTCACAGCTATTATTTGATTGATAAATCTAACTCTTATAATGAATATTAACTTGTTTGGCATAAGGGTTTTTTTATTTTCTTGTCTCAGACTATACCTGCGCTACTTTTATTTCCTATTTTTTATATAAATCCTACCTCCCAAGCTCTACACGAAGTACAGGTGACTGAATGCCCTGTTGCCAATGATATCACATATATTCGCAAGTCAGACAAAAAAAAACATAAGTAGGTACTTAGCTAAACTGCTTTCAAAAAGTAGCTGAGTAAAACACTAACTACATTAAAAAAAAGATAGTTTGATTACAGGTCGACAGGAATAAAAAAAGCCGCAAAAGAGGATTCAATTTAAGCGTTGGACAGAAAAGATAAATTGTATTAAATAATTTAGAATTAAGAATTATGATAGTGCCTAAATATTATATAAATTAATTAGTACGTTATAAATAAATTATAAATAAAGTGTTTTAAATTAATAAACTATAAATAAATTAAACAAACGTTACATTATGTATTTGTAAGGCCCGGTACTTTCACCTATATATAGGTAATATATTGTTTTAAGTTTCGATTTTTTTAGTTAATTTATTGGATATATTTTATTGACTTTTTAATGTAGTTTAGAGCATAAAAAGTAATAAACTAAACAAAGTAGTTAACATTCACCATTTTGAATAATGATTGGACTTTTCATTCATGAAAAGTAATTTTTGGACTAGTCTGACGGACATGCCCGGAAAAGTAATGAAAATTCACAGTAAAAAATAGTCGACCTTGGGCATAGAAACACAGTTAAATCTCTATCCTGGATGTTTTTTCAAAAACACTTTGGGAACAATATTTGCATAGCATACCAACGCCATCTTATTTTTTTTTAATTGGCATCGCAGATAGAGTGATATATCAGAGAAAAGCTTATTTTTCCTCTTTAAAAAAAATACATTACACATAACATAGTGCAATTTATCATACTAAAATACCTTGTTGCCAGATTGTTTCGCTATCCAGTTGTGTAGGATCAGAAAAATCAATAATGTAATACAGTCTAATTCATATCACCTTACAATTTCTTAATTATACATTTATCCGTTTCAAATAAAATACCTTGTTGCGAGACTTTTTTGCTACTCACCCTATAATTTCCAATGAATTCTGAAATATTCAAATGACTTTTTTTAATTTTTTTATCAACTTTTTTGCTCTTCACTTGTTGATTTCGGTGATTTTTTCGCCATGATGTTTGGTGACGATTTCGGGATTTGCATGATGGTTTCTAGAGAATTTGTAGCGATTTCGGTGAGTTCGAGTGAAAAGTACCAGTAATAATATTAAAAAATATATTTTATTTCAAGAAAATTACAATATATACACATACTTGTACAAAGTGTAAAATTAGTGGAACAATCGTCACCCAAAAAAGATTATATTACAGCTATCTGACATTTACATTGGGTATTCTATATAGTCACTAACAGTATTTCCGGAGCTCCTCGCAGAACTCCTAAAGAGCAATAACAATGCCTCTTTCTTTTTCTACATCCTACATTCATAAAATTAAAATTGTTAATACAGTTTTAGTTACATAGCTGATTTTTATATACTGACAACATAAGCCAAATAAAGATCTTGTCTCCCTACCCCCCTCATAGAGTCGCACCAAATAATGAATAAAATATTAGAACATCATAATTTATTTCCTTTGTTAAACATCGTTCAACAATGCTATTAAATGTTTCTACAATCCTGACTCAAGGGCTGTATTGTCTGCAGGCATATAATAATAATAACCGTCCCTTCCCCTACACAAGTCGTTCAGTCGACTTCAGGGGTTGAAATTCACTCGTAAGGGGGTGAATTAGGGAGAGTATTATTATTTTTTTTTTTTTTTTTTTTTTTAATTTGGTGTCATCGGCGTCGACTACTACGGCCATTAGCCTCGTGTTCTGTGTAGGCTTTGTAACTGTTTCCCAGCGCCACTTTAGGAACAGCACTGTTAATTAGAACCCAACAGTGAATGGTCGAGTGGGGAATCCTACCTATGTATTAGAATTATTATTTAATTTTTTAAATTAAATAAAAATTCCTGCCACCGGTGGGATTCGATCCTGAGACCTTCCGATCTCAGAGTCATGACTCTAACCACTAAGCCAACCCACCCCCATTATTATTATTATTATATCATTTTGACCATTTATTCTGAACTTTTAAGCCATTTCTCTTTACTGTTTGTTCTTATTTTCACAATAAATAAGACACAAATGTTTTTAACTTTTGTTTTTATATGTATATGTAAAAAAAATCATAATCATTTCCAAACAGATTTGTTTATAGGATAGTAGAAAATTTTGTGTATTTCTAACTAAACTCAGAAGGGAATCCAACCTCTCAAACCGAAATCTATCCTACATATATTTTTATAAAAGTGGCGACTGGTTTTGGCTATTTTCAAGTTAATATAAGTTGGCAATTGACATATTTAGTAAAATTTAGTAGCAGAAAAATACAAACCTAAGATTTTAGTTTTATTATAAATACAAACAATAAAATTTAGGCACTTATAATGAATAATTTTAAAATAATGTTTGTGGTCAGTAATACAACTTCTTTGCTCTTAAGTTGATTTTATATATTTCAATATTCGTTTACTACATTAGTTAAAAATTGTTTATTATGAGTGCATTTAATATTACCTTAATTTTATTGTTTGTAATTATAAGGATTCATAAAAAATCTTATGTTTGTATTTTTTTTTACTACTAAATTTTACAATGTGTTAATTGTCAACATTTATTATAGACTTGAAAATGATTGCCGCTTTTATTAAAATATAGGTGGAATCGATTTTGAATTTTATTTATCTCATATATTTCTGTTTTCTTCAGCTTGAATTCGAAAATCGCGCCGCTGCCCTCGAGAACAATGGCGCCGGCATTGCAAGCTCAGACTGTTTTGGCTGGGGATATGGTGGAGCCCATTCCGAAGAAGAGGAAGAACGGCGTTCTATTGCGAAGCGCAAAATGCTGGGCAACATCAAATTCATCGGCGAATTGGGAAAATTGGAAATACTATCGGAAAGCATTCTGCATAGGTAAAGTTGATGCTCTTAACAATTTATAGAAATCTAAAATTTATTTGTACATTATATAAAGTAAAATTCCCTTTATTGAAGAAATAGCGTAACCCTAATAATATACATACAAGCGAATAAAAAAAGTTAAATGGGTCTAATTTTAAAATAAATAACAAAAACATGTATTTATTGACGGGAAAACCCCATTACATTCTTGAATATATTAAATTTCAGTTATGCATGTATATACATGACTTATGTACTTAAAATTAAAAATGTATATAAAACTGACAAAATAAACATGACATGATTGGTGAGAGTGTAGAATATAGAAAAAAAATACAATTGTTTTATTTTGTGACTAAATTTATTATAATTGAAAACATCAATGTTTTTACAATCATTTAGGATATTAAGTGTTCTGGTAATAGGTGAATGTTTGCCGTAGTTTGTAGAATGCATAGGGATAAAAAAATTAATCATTTGCTCTCGGGAAATCTAGAAGGAATTCAGAGATAATTGCTCTAGAGTGTTAGGACAATTGTAAATTCCTTTAATTATATTATACATAAACAGAGAGATCTAACATTAATCTTATTTTCTCCACTTGATCTAGATGAAGAAAGTAATTTTAAATTTTCCAAATAATCATACTGGACATTCAATCTAAAAGAACAGTACTTTAAAAATTTCTTCTTCACCCTTTCTATTTGATTAATATAAATGTCATAGCCAGTTTTAGCCCTAGAGCCAACGTGCAGGATTGTGACTTATTTTCTTATGGCTGAATTTATTATTAAATTGTACTATGATACATGTCCAACAAATTCATGAAAGGACTGTGTTCAGACCGGGGCGCTTAGGTAGCTATGGACATTACAAGTGAAAACTGACTTATTTTCTTAATATTTTCATTATGCTCGTTCGTAGATACATGCTCACCTATAAAAAATATTAAAGCCTCCACCAATTTCGCTGGGCCATTTTTCTCTCCAACGTTTTAAAATAGTACATGAGTAGGCATGCACGTGACTTATTTTCTTATGGTTTATTTTTAAGTTTTTTTTATATGTTTCACAAAATTCACCTCTTCCACCAATTTCGCAGGACCATTTTTTCTCTAACATTTTAATGGATGCTTGTTCCAAAATTATAGCTTTTCACTTAAATAATGTCCAATAGAAATATTTGTCCGTTTTAGTGTCCAAGGAAAATATAGAAGTAAAAAATAAATAAATGGTTTTATATAAACCCAATAAAATGACAAAGTATTTTTGACCAGGGTTTGAGGTCGCTATGAACGAATTCACTCACAGAATTTAAAAATCTTTGCTAGCCATTTTTAGGGTCCAAATTGTATTGTTTAATATCATAAAAAACAATGTTAATATATATTTTTATTGAAAAAATTCATAAAAGAAACCAATATTTCAATAAAAGGTGGCAAAATTTAGCATTTATGAACCAGTACTTTGAATATTACATAATGAAAATTTATAAATCTGTATATATTAAAATTCTTTTTCAGCTATCTTAAAAACCCCTAATTGATTATTTACGAGGTAAGCGCCAATAATTCCCGGCCTGACATAGTTGCAGATATTTTATCAAGATAAAAGTTTAACATTTTATAACTACAAACGTTAGTAGGCTGTGGTAACAAAATAAGCGACTTACGTCAAATAGTTATTAATTGTCAGCATTTTGAACTAAAGTATCTCCGAAAATGTCTCAGGTGACGAAAATTGAGTACAGAGCGGTTATTAAATTTTTAACAAAAGAAGGGCTTACACCTAAAATTATTAAAGAAAGACTCGATGGCGTATATGGCCAAAGTTTCCCTTCCTATTCGGTAGTGAAGGAATGGGCAAAACGTTTTCGCATGGGTCAGGAATCCCTTGAAGATGACGAAAGACCTGGACGGCCAGTGGAGGTGATAACGGAGGACAAAGTGACCCTTGTGGAAAACCTGGTGCTAAGTGACCGACGTTTGAAGGTGGTCAAGGAAATGGCAGAAATGACCAAGCTTTCTGATATCACTGTTCGCCGAATCCTCCATGATCATTTGGGTATGCATAAGGTTAGTGCAAGATGGGCGCCCAAACCTTTCGGCGATTCAGAAGCAACGTCGTGTCGAGTGTGCTCAATCGTTTTTGGAACTGTGTGGAGATGATCCGAACCCCGTGTTGGAAACAATAGTCACTGGATATGAAACTATGGTTCTTTATTATGATCCTCTGTCGAAAAGGGAATCAATGGAGTGGCGCCGTAAGGGTGAAAAGCCCCCCCCCCCCCCCCCCCACGAAAATTTAGAGTCTGCCAATCAACGAAAAAGGTGATGGCTACGATCTTTTGGGATTGTGAAGGAATCCTTCTGATTGATTTTAAAGAGACACAACCACCGTTAATGGCACATATTATGCCGCATTACTTCATAAGTAGCGGGAATGTATTCGGGAAAAACGTCGAGGAAAATTAACCAGAGGCGTGCAGTTGTTGCACGACAATGCGCCCGTTCATACTGCTGGCGTTACATAAGCTGCCATCCTAGATTGCGGGTTTCAAAATATAGATCACCCTCCTTATAGTCCAGATATGGCTCCCAGCGATTATTATTTGTTTAGTTATTTGAAAAAGGACCTTCGCGGGCGACGTTTTTGGGACGATTTTGAGTTACAAGAAGCTGTTTTGGTCCATTTTGAGGATAAACCGAAAGAATATTTTTTTAAAGGTATTGAATTGTTAATTAAACGTTGTAAGAAGTGCATTGAGGTTAAGGGAGATTACATTGAAAAATAATAAAAACTTGTTGTTGTACTTTGCCTCCTTTTTGCAAAAACTATGTCAAATTATTGCGGTTTTTTGTTTAAACCATTCATATTCTTTAAATTCATTATTTTTGTTGGACACGAGAAACGGTCCAATACTTTTAATACACTAATTCAGTGAAAAGGTATCTTTTTTATCTGGCTTTGGTACAAAAGTGTGCATTTATTGAAAATAAGTCACGCACATGCTTACTCATGCACTACTTTAAGACGTTGAAGAGAAAAAATGGCCCTCCTAAATTGGAGGGTTTAGTATTTCTTGTAGGTGGGCACTTATCGTCGAAAATGTTAAGAAAATAAGTCGAAGTTTTTAATATTTGTATAATTTTTAAAATTCTTATAGACATGATGTAAATTTTCCCACATTTATTTTAACTTGGATAGATTTGTATTTATACACTTTTTATCTAATTAATTAGTTTGAGACTAAATAAATGATTTATATATTGAGGATTCCAAACAATGATGGAACAATCTAAAATTTACCTTAACCAGTGAGTAATATACTGTTATTTTTTACCTGTAGATATAAATCCTTAGAGGTTCTCACTGTAAAACCTAACATTTTTAGAGCTTCGACAGTTATTATGTGCTCCTTAAATGAAAGAGAAACGACTTACCTTTGACACAAACTGTAAACGATCTCTTGGGTTATTTTCGATAAAGTCCTATCCTTTATTAAAAATAGAACATTTCAATTATGGGATTTCTTAGGAGGAACACAGAACACAAATGTCTTTATAATAGTCTATTCAGAAGTATTAGAACACAAATGTCTTTATAATAGTCTATTCAGAAGTATTAGAACACAAATGTCTTTATAATAGCCTAGTCAGAAGTATTGTTGAATACGGCTTAGTAATCTGGTGAACAATTTGTAACTGCCACATAGATGTATTGAACAGAGTGCCGAATAGATTTGCGAATTATTTACTCTATAAACTTCGATTTCCATTCAGAACATTCATTATGAAACAAGGATATCATTGTGTAGTCTCAAAACTCTAGAATGCAGATGTAAGAAAGCCATGGTAATTTTTATATACCAATTACTAAATGGCATGATATCAAATTACTCTATATTTGCACTTACATGTTAAATTTTTAATTTATATTTAATGTAATACAACACAGTATATCATTTAGAGAGGCACAACACAAGTGTTCAATCACTTATGTGCTTAACTCTGGACGATTTTCATTTGTTCTTTCCACTAGTTTTACTACTTTTCATCTTTATTACAATTTTCTAGTCTATGTTTTCTTCATGGATTCATCTATACATATCTTGTTCATTTTATCTTTGTTTTTGTTTTTATTAATACTATTTCCATAAGGCATGTATAATTGTTTTAAATATGAATTATTTTAGATTTCACATTGTAAATTTGTAAGAAAATTGTAAATATTGTAAAAGGGCTTATGTCCAAATAAAGAAATATATAATAAGACAGACATCGCAACAGCAATTACTCTATAAACCTCTACACCCTACAAATTATGGACACCAAGCATTTTTCGATAGGTTGGCAAGAAACTATAACAGATCTCTTTTGGAGTGTGATATTTTAGATTTAGTCTTTTTTCATTAAAAAGTAATATTTTGTATAATAAGTCATAATTGCTTTTCTGTTTTTTCCCTTCATGTGAGTATTATACTTACTATATAGTTGACATACCATTAGACTTTTATATCTGCAGCATACTAGTATTAATTAAATAAATAAAAATGTGTTTACATTAACCTAGATCCCGCCTGAAAATCAACTAAAAACGCAAGAAAATAAAAGTTTACAGCGAAATAGTGTAGAATATTTTTTTTTGTAGGTGCATCAAGGAATTATTGGTCAGAAGGGGTGACGATCCCTCGGAGGACCTTGAATGCCTATGCCAGATATTCCGGACCTGCGGCCGCATCTTGGACACCGACCTGGGTAAAAACCTCATGAACCAATACTTTGAAAGAATGAAAATGCTGGCGGATAATCAAGACTTACAACCAAGAATAAGATTCATGTTGAAAGATGTGATCGATATGAGAGATAACTCATGGATGCCGCGAAAGGCAATTGTCGTTGAAGGTCCGATGCCCATCAACCAGATCAAACCAGTGGAAGACGATCGTCCAGGATATAGAAGAGATCGTAATCATGATAGAGACACTGACAGATCCAACATACCGGACTTGTTCCGACATCCCATGAAGACCCGAAGCGGTCTCGACGATATGCTTATGGGTATGTATACAAAACATTTTTACACACTTTTTATAACATTTATTTAATTTTATTAATGTAAGGGAAATTCCATTACAATAAAAACTACCAAAATCATTTAGAAAGATAACTTACATTAATTTGCAAACACTAACACTTAAGAGGAGTATTTACTTGGCTGTAGAGCGGAGCATGCAAGGGTTTCGTAGTACCCCACTTTTAAAGTTTATTTTTGACTTATTCTGAAAGAAAAAAATATGTACGTGTAGGTAAAGGATAAATCTATGCTCCTCTGGAAACACTTTTTTAAAATTTAAAACAGTTGTTTCTAAAAAAAAATACAAAACTTGACTTGTTTTACCCATTTTCTCAATTTTTTTTAGAAAAAACTAAATTGAATTTTGAAAAAGTGGTTCCAGAGGAGCATAGATTTAACCTTTACCTACACACACATATTTTTTTATTTTAAAAATAGTTAAATATAAACTTTAAAAGTGGGGTACTACGAAACCCTTACATTGCAAGATTTTTCGTCTGGAAAGTGGCGCCTCTATTAGATTTTTAAGAAATTAATATTTGTGAATGAAAACAATTTATAATATATTTTACTGATGTTTTACGAGGGATGAATAAATTTTACGTATTTGTACACCTTATTTTTTACGTAATTTATTTCTGTAATACTAAGATTGGCATATATATTATATGCAAGGGTTTCATAGTACACCAATTTTACGGATTATTTTTTAATATTACTAAAAAAAATTTTATGTAAGTACAGGTAAAGGCTTAACCCACACCTCTCTGGATTTACTTTCAAAATATGAATCAGTCTCTTTTGAAAAAATCTAAGAAAAGAAACGAAAAGAAATAGAAATGTTAAAAAATGATAGAAGAGAACAATATATTTAATTTTTTCCTACAGGAGCATTTATTTTTATTACAAGAAAAATAGAAATACGTTAAAAGCTTTTTCATCTAGAAGGTGTTACCAACAATATATATATCTTTTTCTACTATTTAGTGAGTGATTTGAATTCATGTTGTTTATTTTTTACATACAGTAATTTCGCTCAATTATATTAAATTAATTTTATCATTTATTTATTAAAAAAAATACATATATACGAAACGGGAAGGTATACACTGAGATGTGAATTATATGTTTTTGTTTAATGAATACTTCTTCGAGTCAACAATAATTATTAATTCCAGCATGTTAATATCTCTTCAATCCGTTAAAGTAATGTAAATATTTTTTCTTGCTTTCGCGCATGGCTTTGATTTGTCGCACCCTTTGAGGCGCGTTGCAAGAGAACATTTTCTAAAAAGTTAGCCAATGTCTATAAATGAGACAAATGATTTATTGCATTGTGGCACAATAGAAGACGGAAACGAGTCACTGCTTAAAAATTTGGAGAAAGTAAAAAATCTCGTAAAATCTTTTATTTATTTCTAAAGCCACCCGATATGGCATGGATCATAAATTCAAAACAAAATAAGATTTGGAAATTTATTTGCAAGTAAAAGTTTTTAAATGTGGACATTTTATTGAATTCGAATTTGATTATGTTGCTGTCAGTCTGGATGGAATTAAAAAAAAAAACAAAACTCTATGATAGAGTTAAAATGTCCATATGGAGCTGAAGTGCGGACTGTAGCAGAAGAAATATGCAGTAGAGAAATAACTTTTTGGAAAAAGAACAATTCCATTAAGGAGAACCACTATTGGTATTTTCAAATTCAGGGCTAGCTGCACATAACACAAATGGATTTTTGCATTTTGTGCTTTTGGACTTCTGGAGGAATAGAAGTGGAGAAAATATCTCATATTGACAGCTTTTGAGAAAAAAAGATACAAAATAAAATTAAAATTTTTTATATGTAATATGTCTTGCCGGAACTTGTTGACAGCGAAGCAATAGAGACATGGAAGTACGAGACAGAATATTAAATAATTCGTGAGAAATTTTGTTGAATGTTTATTAACATAACGCAAGGAATCAATCTTAAATTATTTTGAATATTTTTATTAATAAAAAAATAATAGTTTCAAGATTTTGATTCGGATTAGAAGATTTAGTATACATGGTTTTGTGTCAAAGCCAAGTCATGTAGGAATTGTTATTGTAATACGTAGATGAGTAACTATCATCAATAGAAATTTAAAATTCAAACATAAATCTTTGTAACGACGTTATTTATAACTTTATTAACTTCATAACGGTCAAAAATGTTAGTTAACTTATTTAATTTTAAATATAAATTGATTTTAATTTTAACTTAGACATTTTCAAAAAGTTCACTATATTGTTTAGTTGTTGCAACTTTACTGCGCTTAAGTAGCGTTCAGATTAAAATATAAATTTATGGAGCTTAACTGAAAAACAGAAACTAATGCTTTCATTCCAAAAAAAGTATTATGGCCAATAAAAAGAATTTTGAATTGTGATATCTGCAAGTCCTTATTTAAAACCTTTAAATTTAATATTATCATTATACAAGAGTTATTTTTACAAATTGATACAAATATCGAACATAAGTTTGTTGACATAAACATTATTTCCATAATACAAATAAATATATCTCTGTTAAAGAATACTCATAATTTATTTAATATATTCATTTAAACATGTTTTTGTTTTTTGTCTGGATGATATTGAATACTAACTTTTTCTATATAACTTTTTATCGACACATTGTGAGATAAAAAAAACAGACAATTAATTAAAAGCGTACTCACAATTTCAATGCTATACTGTTTCCCAAATTATGAAAATACTAAAGAATATTTAAAAAAATAAAAAGCCAATTAAACAATGTGTTAATATCTAGAGAAGAACATCGTACTTCTTTTTTAGAAACGAAAAGTAGTCAAAAATTGTGAAAATAACGACATATTTTTATTTCACAAAAATAATAAGTCAGTTTTTGTTTTTTATGTAAATTATATCATTTTCAAGGCAATAAAACAGAAGAAAAGTCACCGAATACCGATTTCAAAAAAGTCTATTAGTTTTTATAGGAAATGGAAAGAGAAAGAACGCTTTTTAAACGAGTTAAAATTCTTTACATATTTCGATAAATTTAAACGGATTAAGGTATTTTGTACCGTGTTAAAAAATTTAAGAAAATTTTTGAAGAATATTTCTTTTTTTTTTAAATTAGTAAACTTTGACAAACATATACAATATTCTAAAAGATAAATCACATTTATGTGATTATACAAAACTTTAATTTATTTTTCTAAAATAATATGGATTGTCCTCTAAAATATATATAGTGGCTCGCAAAAAGTCTGCTTTTATGTTACTTTTTTCAGAAAATATTATTCCTGATAAAACTTAGTGTTTAATTAAACCTAAAACTTTATTTATTCAAAAAATTCTGTACCATAAATATACATTTGGCTGCACAATGAACTAGGTACTCTTGTAGGAACCGAACCCACATTTTTACATATAAGATTAATTTAAGATGTATATAACTCCACATAGTAGTTTTTTAGTTATTACAAATAATATAGATTATTATATTCTTTTTAACCTACTTCAAAAAGGAGGAGGTTCTCAATTCGTCTGTATATTTTTTTTATGTATGTTCAGCGATAATTCTTTAACACAATGTCCGATTTAAATGATTCTTTTTTGCTGGAAAGGGGGTACTTCCGGGATGGTCTCATATAAATTTGGTCAAAATCTAATAATTGGGTCAATGGGAAAATCCTCAAACTTTTCATTTTTTATGTATGTTTAGCGATAATTCTTTACCACCTCGTCCGATTTCTATAATTCTTTTCGTTAGTAAGGGGGTACCTAAGGGGTGGTCCCATATAAATTTGGTTCAGATGTGGTGATGGCATCTGCACGATTTTAAAGTCGGTTTTTTAAAATTACTTTCAACACATCTTACGTAAATTAAAAGTTTAATAATTTGGTGCTTTCTTGATGCGTCGTTTTATGATTTCTTTTTGCATATGTTTAAGTACAGATAATTATTATTATTACTGGCAGTTTATTTTAAATCATTAAAATAATATTTTGTTGATCCAAAAAAGGCAAAAAAGCCATGTCACATTCAGTGTAATAATAAAAATTAGATATATAAATATAGTATATTATGTACCAACAGACTAAACTTTCACTTTCAATCTCGCCTTTTGTCGTAAAAGACTTTTAAATTTTTACCAGTGACGTCCGTGCCGGGTTTGAACTGAATATTTTTGAAAAAAAATATGCGCCACTGCTTTTTCTAAAAACCAAAATTATCTTTAAAATTCCTATATATTTTGGAACAAATTTGTTTTATGACGTACTTTCGCACGAAGCACCCTTTTCGGGTAAGATAATGAAAACCAGTATATTGAAACTGCTTTTGATATTTTGTTGAAATTTGGTAGGAACCCACCATGAGTGGAAACACTTTTTTTGGGAAAAATTTCATAAAAATATCTAGAGTGATAAGAAACTTATGATAAAATAGTTATTTTTTTTTTTTTCTTAAAACTTTAACACCCAAAGGATTCACACCCTTAAGTATCGGCACTCAATAAATAAATACCCTGTATTAATTGATATTACCTTATTCGAACCAATCGTCTATTTTTTCGTTGTTTGTATTTATATTTCACACCTCTATACTCTTAAATGTAATTTAATCTAACTAAACCTATTCACTAAACTAAAATATAAAAATAATGTAAAACCCTCTAATAAATCGAACTGCGTTATAACAATATCTCGCAATGCACCGAGAAAAGCAAATACGATTCTGGTTCCCCTAATTTAGGTAACTCTGACTCACTCCGTGTTAGGATTTTTCGGTTCCTTTGTCTTAATTTCGCGCGTTAGAGTTTGGAATACGATCCCTCGTATCTACAGGCAATTGTTAAAATTATGAATGAATGCGGATTTTGTTTAGTCTCTGAAGTAATTTTGTAGTATTTAGGCTCCACCCTAAAGTTGTAATTTTTATACCTACTAAACTACCGTTGCCCCGCAGGTCTTTCAGTTTGTAATGTAAATTTTCCTCTTAAGTCAAATGATAAGTATGAATTAATATAAGTAAAAGATAATTTTTTAAATGATAAAATATCAAAAATCCTTAGGAATGTTGAAATTGAAAATATTTAAAATATCATGTGTGTCGATTTCTTGTAGCTTTTCTAAATCTATTGAAAAACGTACCCAAGATATCCAAATTCAATGAATTTGCACTTCTCTTCATTCTTGTTAGAGGACTAAATAAGCCATAATTAATTGTATGAAATGGAATGAAGAATTTTTGACGAGTATATTTTACTGGTACTCTAAATTGAATGGATTCTAAAAGTTATGCAAAAATAATAAATCTAGTGTATCCCTTCGAAATTCTAGACATTCAAGATCCATTAAGTTTAATATAACATAATCATAGTTGCCAAGTACTAAACCTAATCTAAATGTACAATATCTCAGAATTCTGTGTGGAAAAAATAATGAATTAAAGTGTAAGAAAGGTTACTGGTTGTAGGTGGTTGTGAAACTATGCAACGTAGAATTTTGGGATAAAATGTTTAATGTATAAGTGGTCAAGAGACATCGACGGAAATTAATTTCAAGTTTCTAACTTCGCCGCTAGATGCTGTAATGCGTGTGACTAAGATACATTTAAGTAAATTTCGCACAGATTGTGATTTTGATATTTTCGACATAACTTTGTATTTTTTTATCGAGTTTTTATCCTTGATCCCTAGCAATAAAATGTGTCAAAACTTTACCAAATTCAGAAAATTTATTGTGTCAACTTGCATATTTTCATAAAATTTAGATATTTGATAAAACATCTATAAGTATACCTGCCGCAATACCATTTTGTTGAGTCATAATGATATTACTGAAAAGTAAATAGATAAATGTATCTGTTATTTCTATAATCTAAGTGTATATCACACCTATCCACAGTTTTTAAAACAGGAATAACAAAGCTTAACCTCTATAATGTGTGAAAGTATTTTAATTCTAATGACGGTTGGAACAAAATATGAATAGTTGACAACTCCGTAATTTTTACAATAATTATTCTTTTGTTATAGGTATAAATTTGACCCCTTCAGCACCATCTCTGATACCTACTGTACCTCCACCTTTTGGATCCCACAATGGGTATGGAAATCAAAGAGATGGCACTTATAGAGGCCACAATAACCAACGCAGCGGTGCTTACAATTACAATAATCAAAGGGGACAATACAAGCATAACCAGAATAATTCCAATTCCCAATATAATCGTAAGTATCCACAGTAATCGGATTTCAAAAAGGCGATTTTTCTTTTTATATAAATGTGTTGTATTTTGATCAATATTGTTCCTTTGCAGAATCAAATAAGGACGTCGCGCCTCGTTTTAAAAAGAGCAATCTGATTGTCGGTAAAGACGAGATGGCTGATGTCGAACTCAGACCAAATTCAATGCTCATAACTAAGGCATCATCTTTGAAATCCAACAACATTATGAATAACAATAATAATAAAACAATGGAACCAACATTTGCACCATCTACTATTAAACACCCTCCATCTACCTTGCTCAAAGACCCATTACCCATCAAACAGATGCCTGTGGAGAAACCTAAGCAGTCCAAGAAAGACAAAGTAAGTAACTTTTAAAATAAACTCTTCTGTACCTGGCAGCCTACATGATAAAATATATCGATGGTCTAATTCTAATATCCCTTAACTGCATGGATTGACATTTTACAGGAAAAGCTTTTTTAGCTTAAAGCCGGGATGAGTCCCGTCATCTGTCGGTAAATCAACACGGTTCAAAGGGGCGCGGACGTTGGCGCGCAACACGTACTTATAGCTCCAACGGCGCGGCCAGGAGCGTGGCACTGTCAGTGCCGTGGTAACTTTCACCATGGAGTAGTCTAACGAAGTAGTGTTAGAATTTTTATCATTCTATGATGCCGAGCCGATTATTTTTTGTCCTCTTGCCATCCTGTAAACTCCTAACATAAAATAAACGGCTGAGGCAGCAACGATAGGCGTCCGCTCACGGTTAATCTTTTCGTGAAATTAAACCAAATTATGAAATTTTTATCGCCAACACTGCCGTCGTAAAACAGACTGCAATAGGCGCGTGTCCACGTCTGCACGATCCCCATGCGCCGTGGGAACGGTCCGACCTTTGAGGGACAACTCACAATCCAGGATTGCCACTCCACGCGCCGTTGGATCCCGGCTTAATAGTGCTATGATTGCAATAAGGGTTATTAGAGTAGTCAAATTTCTCATGTAAATATTGTCCAAAGCAATACGGTTTATTTTAACTAATGACAGAGTAAATGTATAACCAAATGGCATGAAAAAGTTAAGTTTGAATTTTTCGCAGATACGGAGTATTAGAATTATTAGACCATCGATATCCTGAATAGCAATAGACATACTCCATTAAAGTTACAATTAAGATAAGTAAGAGAATAAGACTATATTGCAACTGTTCTTTCAAGCTTGACGGTTTGCAAGTACATAGCTGTATTAATTTTATTGACATTTAACGGTTTATTGAATATAAATGCAACAATATAAATAATTTAAAACATATTTTATAAAAATGTTTTGTACACATAATTTGACAATACAAATAAAAAAAGATCATAATTTACCTCATTGCCATATAGGAAGTTAACATTTTAAAATCAGTTTTTATTAGCTACCAATACAGGTACGGAAATTTAACTGCAGACCATCTAACCCAAAGTGGGAGTGAGCTGGAAGTCGTATGCATTGTGCTTCAGGCCTTCTTTTTTTGTTAAATGAGTGGTCCTATTATACCTTGTCCAAATGATTGTAAAATGGAGAGTCCGCATTTAGATTTCCGTACCTGTATATAAAAGTATAATGCATGGATGAAGTAGTACCAATTTCTAGTGAAACATGAAAAAAAACTATTGTGTGACAATAATTTAGAAAGGGTAGGTGTTTTTAGAATGAAAAATTACGTATGTGAATCGGCATTTTTATGCTTGTGACAAAAACCTTGTTAACTAGTGTTCTTTATTATCTTAAAAAGAAATTAAAATAATTATATTAAATGTATTTTAAATAAATATAAATAAAACTAAAGCCAATATCACAAAATTATGAGCGACCGTCTTCCTTCAGAAAACAACTACTCCTTTGGCTAATACCGCAACCGGTATTGAATTATATCCAAAGGAAAGACGGGCAGAGATAGAAAATTAAATTTCAACACTCTATCTACCTTTGATTTTGCTTACTAAGGAGAACATCATTCTTGGACCGGTTTCGTCCTTATTAGGAACAGGTATAATAATAATTTCAAAACTTTAACTTATTTGTGTGGCTCTGTTGTGGGTAGCCATATAATTTTTACCTACCTTCTAGGAAAATATTAATTATATTGTAAATATTTTGACAAACTATTTCACATCATTAAATACACCAAAAATATTACGAGTATTTTCTAATACATCATTCAATTTATATGCGCCCCACTGGGAATACTTCGCCTGAAGTGATGGAAGTGACTGAGAATAGTGGGAGCTTTAAATTTAAATCAGCAAATTTTCATAGGCTTAATACTGTACAGTAACTTTTTGAAATTCTGATTAAAAATTGAAAAAATAAATACTATTTGAAGGTTTAAAAAACTAACCCTCTCCCTCCCACCAAGTTATTATTGAAAATTTCACAAACATTTACTAAAAATAGCTCTCTTTAAAAGTAATTCAAAGGTGTTTGATTTACTCTTAAGAAGTTGGTTAAGTTGAAAAAAAAAAGATTAGCATTTTCAAGACGAATTTATTAGTTCCCTCAAAATTAAAATGTCAGGTCCAGTTTCTGAGATAGGCATAACCGAAATGGACTATTTTCGTTTTATAATTAACACCTTTGTTTTTAAAGATGAATAAAAAACTACAAACAATCGCTTATCATAGCTAAGCCAAATTTTTAAAACGACTTTTTTATCTTTTCCCACATATTTTTTTTTTAATACAGTTATGTACTTTTTTATTTAATTCTAAATTGGTTTATATACAGTGCTTATTTTTTGTGTTAGGCATACGAGTAGTATATAAGTTAATAAAATAGCAACAGGGCAACAGCCAGTCGCCACTAGACATAGAAGACATGGTGGTGGTATATTAGCCGAACCGAATATCAGTCCTGAAGCAAAGAACATAGCGATAGCGTAGTTGCCGCATGTTAACTGTGAAAGCGCTGCTATGCCTAATACAAAATAATAAGTATCGTATTTGACGATGTATCACAAAAAAATTATATTAAGAGGAACAAATTAATACAGTGATTGGCCTTGTAAATCTCCAGAATTGAATGTAATTATTTTTGAGGGAGTTTTTAAGATATTCTTGAAATTAGGAATTTGATATACATTCTTTTACAATTCTTTGTTAATCAATTCTAGGGCCCAAATAAGGAAGAAGTTCTGAAAAAGTTCAATACTTTAATCGATGAATACTGGAAAGGGGAAGTAGATCTTAAACAAGCTATATATTCTTATAAAGAGCACAAAGTCCCTGATAAATTTGCCAAAGAGATGGTGTTGAGTGGTTTGTCAAATGCTTTAGAAAAATCTGGTAAGTTGTGTTATTCCAAATCGACTGATTTTTTTGGAAAATGTGCAATATTTTCATATTTTGAATGAACCACATAGGTAAAGGTTGAACTTAGGTTGTCTTACTATTTATTTATTTTTATTTGTTTAAAATCGAGGTATTAATATTCTGTTGCAACAGCAAATTTGAGATAAAATAAAATGGGGTAGTTTTAAATGATTGGTTTTTATTGAAAATATTTTTTTTTTTTTTTAAATTTTCAATAGTAAGATGACCTGAGTTAGATGTTTATCTACTTTGGCTAAGAATTCTATTTTTAAATACTCTCTATTTAACTTTTGGTCTACATATGAGGTTTTTAGGCACAGTGATACTCTATCTTTGAAATAATTTTAATATGTGCATTGTTGTTTATTTATATTTAGGGAACGTTTTTTTTACCTCTGAGTAATGTTGAAAGTAACTACCATCTGTCAAGTAACCATACATGTAGGGCTATCATCTGTAAAGATTGTATTAGGGGAATACTCAATTAATGGAATGATGAGCAATAAATTGACGGGCGGGGCAAAAATACGTGACCACAGATGCCCCCTCGCCCTTTTTTATGTCGATTTGGCCATAAATTGCAAAATAAATCGCAAAGAAGCTGTTCAAATTAATAAAGAATTAAAATGTTTATTTTTTTTTTGTAAAATGTAAAAAATAATATCTGGATGTCTAGAAAAAAATTGAATATCACCCAAATGTCCGGGAGTTTTCAGGTTTTTATCCGACGTCGGCAATTTAGGTGATGGCATGCCTCTCTCTCTACGTATAACTTTACCCATAGGTGAAAAAATTGGCACTTAAATTTAATTAAATTTAGACTAGTTTAAATGTGTGTAAAAACTTTTATATGAATTTAAAGATTTATAAAATACTTAACTATTTTTTTAGACGTTGAACAGGAAAAACTTATTCGATTCCTAAGTAACCTTAAGGAGGATAACCTGATAAGCGGTAACACCGTTCAGGACGCCTTCAAATCCTTGTGCAATGTATTGGTTGAGCGAGAAAACGAGATTACGAAAGTCACTAATTCTGCTTCCGTCCTCTTTGCCACCGCGATTTGCGAACACCTCGTGCCGCTTTCCGACGTGGCTAACTTGACGGAAAACGGGTCACACCACCCGCTATTCTTGCTGGTATTGCAGAACATCTACAAGAAAAGAGGCAAATCGGAACTATCGGAGATGTTCAACAAGAGCAAGGTAATTTCCTCTTATTTTCATTTTGACCATTTTTGGATTATGGTTCCTTTCTGTTGTATTATTATAGTAATGTATTTTACAGATTAATCTGATGACACAACTACCTGACAGTGATAAGACAAAAGAGCGCCTTTCAGAAATATTAGAAGAACGGGATTTGACATTTTTATATCCTCTGCTCCGTATCCAAGCAGACTTAGCTCGTCAACTTCAGGCAGATCCCAATCCTCAGGCTTTCTACAAATGGATCAAGGAAAACTTAGAACCTTCAAATTTCAATGATCCAGGATTCATCAATGCACTCATGACTGTGCTTTTGAAGTACATAACTCAGGTTAGTTTTTTTTCTTTAATATTTACTTAGCAGAGACATTTGACTTGTTTTAGTTTAATTTATTTAATAAGTTTATTATGTATTTTTAGTTGTCCATACTTATCTATATTTTTGAATTTGTATATTTTTTAGGAATCTTCTGCTTGTGGCGACGAAAAGGCCATTATCGAAAAGGAGACGAGCCTTCTGAAACGATACCAACCCATTTTGACCGCCTTCTTGAGAGAAAAATCCAGCTTGCAGCTTGTGGCGCTCTATTCACTTCAGATGCATTTCCACTCGCTGGGATTTCCTCGAGGTCAATTGTTAAGGTGGTTCAATGCCCTTTATGATATGGAGATTGTGGACGAGGAGGCGTTTTTAAATTGGAAAGAAGATGTTACTGATGCATATCCAGGGAAGGGTAACGCCTTGTTTCAGGTAAGACAATTATGAAGGGCGTTGGAATACGATATTAAAGTTCAAATTATTATATAGTATACAAAAAATAGAAAAATTAATTTAAAAAGTATGTATAAATACAGGGTGTTCCTGTATATATGGAAGGGGGTAATTCTTAGGCTTATTTGATGACTAAAAGTTCATATAAACATAGGTACGCATACGCGTCGTTCCCGATCTACGGGGTATCGAAATTGTAAGATGTTTCTTATTGAGATAATCATGTAGGGCTTACATCATTGGGCGTGTCAAATGGTCGTGTACTGCTGGTAGATTCTAAAAGTGAAAAACTATTTTCTCTAATTTGCTAAATGAAAATAAAATTTTTAAAATCGTTCTTTATTGTGGAAAATCTCTTATTTTTATTAATTTTGACAGTTTGCGTTTAAAGACTTAACTTGGGTATGCACATAGATAAATTAATATTAAAAGATAAACCGTTTAAATGCACGGCACTGGTAACAAGTGGTAGTTCCCAGCCATACTACTTGGAGCCACCGTCGCACGCTACACATTTGGCTGATTAACTTAACAGTTAGAGCAACATAAAAGAAGAAAATTAAAAAGAAGAATGTCAAGCCTAAACGCGGCTCATTCAAATGTCGTTTATTATTTATTTACATTTTTTGGCATTCATTACTTTAAAAAAACTAATATTTACATTAAAATACTGTATTTAACATAAATATTAGTTTTTTAAGTAATAAAACTCCAAAAAATATAAATGAAAATATTTGAAACAATAGGTATATACGTATAGTTTAATCATTTAATAAAAGTAAGGTGCATTTAAACATTTATTACATACAGAACATGTACAAATAACAACTGTAAGTGGAATTAATAGTATTCTCCTCTCGTTCTTGGAAAACTGGACCAAATTTTGATGCAGGTGTCAGGGGTTTCCTATAAAAACAAAAAAGTGTACATACTTACATCTTATTAAACAATTTTTCTTATCAAAATGTTGCCCTTTCTTATAAAAAAAAATATTTTTAATTTGTCTAAAATTAGTTTATAGAAAAAACTTTCAGTTTATTTCTCATAGTGCAATGGTCGATTTGAATTATATTTTAACTAATCTGTTCTAGTTGATCTAACAAATTTGAGTTTGAAAATTACTTAACAGAGGGTTGTTCAAATTGTTTATCACTAATACTAAGTTTACATTTGCAAATAATTTCTTGTTTTTCGTTGCAGATTAGCAAATCTATCTTATGCTACTGTGTATGTGCTTCAGCCTCAACATTTTCTAAAAATCTGACTGTTTGGGTTGAGTATTAAGTATAGTTGAACTGGATGTAGGTACTATTAGCTAATAAAATTGGTACAGAATTTGCAATTAGTCGTTTATGTTTTGAAGCAATTTTACTAAAAGAATCTGGCCAAAAATGATCTTCAAAAAGATAGCGAATTTTATTATCTAAAGATAAAGTAAATTCTTAAAACAGTTTTCACGAATTTTAATATCGGAAGGATAATGAAAAAAGGTTTTATTTGAATAACCAGCCTGCTGAATATTAGAATAATACTTATTTAAATTAAGGGACTGAAAAAGATTACTTAATTTTACCAGGGCCAGACATGTTTTGTTACAAATAGGTATATTAAAAAAGAATTGAAAATCGATCCAAAATGAAATTATACTTCGTTAAGGCTATAAGAAAACAATGATAAACAAAGTCCTTAAACAAATCTAACACCTTATTAAATTATATTGTTAATACTTACTAATTTCATCAAATCAGCACTTATCAATCTTCTTAACCTAATAATAACTTACCTATCGAAGGATAATTATATCCACAACATCATAATAACTTTTATTTTATGACGGTTTTTGTGCATTTTTCGACTATTTCGCCTTCCGCCATTCCATTCTTTATTTTTAATTTTAACGAGGTTATCAACACAGTTGCCAAACCTCTCTTTAAAATATCTCAGCAATAGTATGGCCATTGTATGGATGATATCGAGCACGACAAAAACAAAATAAGGTGCAGCTTATGCGTTTGAATTAACTCTAATCTCATGAAACTTTATGGAAACTGACAACATCGCTGTCATCTTATTTGCGACGGTGGCTCCAAGTAGTATGGCTGGGAACTACCACTTGTTACCAGTGCCGTGCATTTAAACGGTTTATCTTTTAATATTAATTTATCTGTGGGTATGCATGTATTTATAAATTAAAGGTTTAAGTTCTAAATTGTAAGATGTAAAAGTGTTTTAATGGGTTCGCCACCATTCCATTTTAGCAAAACGTACCCAGTGGGCTAAGACGAGATGTTTGATAAACTTTAGAACAGTTTCATTAAATTTGTAGGGTGGTATAATTGGGGATCATTTGATTGATCCTTTCTTTTTGCCTGGTCGTACTTATCTTTTATACAGGCATTTTTTCCAACGCCTTTATTACTAAAAGACTGCTCTTTTGCTGAGAGATCAAATGAATATGCTCGGTGGCGCACTCTGGAACGATCATATGTTTAACGCTGGATATAATAGCAAAATTACCTTTAAATTTTTGATACATTTTTGTTTTTTTTTTTGTTTAAATATATGTTTATAAAAATATAATTTGTTTAATTATAAGTAAATTTGATTAAAATCTTTACCCAAAGCTCTGTATTACGGAATAAATTGTTACATTGATAAATAGGTGTGCATGGAAGTGGGGATGTTAAATTTTAATTTTTTTACTATAATTTTTATTGGGACTAGTCTGTAAGTTTTATAATATTATTGATGATAATAATTGTAAACTTGTCAAGATACAATAAATAAATATCAAATATCACAACACACGCGTTCCTTGTTAAATATATTTATTTTGTGAGAAACCAATAGAGCAAAATATGAATTAAATAAATTACTTGATTCATTTAGCCAACATGTTTTCATAAATAAGTATATTTTAGTCCATATACTAACAATTAATTTTAGAGTGATTTTGAAACACTTATGTGTTTATTTAACTTTATTTTTCATGTAAATATGTATTTTCTAGCGAAATTGAGTGCATTTCGCTTTTCTTTTTTGTTACTATCAAAAAGTCCCACAGAGTCCCGATTATTTGTTGATAACTATGGCATCTTTACTTTTTGCTGTATTTACCAATACAAAGTTTTGCTGCAACCACTTGTAGCAAAGGTGACTATGGAACATTTTGTTTCGTCGCGTATCTGGCCCATACGTTATGAATATTTTTTAGTCCATGTGTAGTTGCTAACTTTTCACTATTTAGTGTTACTGTTGTTGATTTTGTTTATGTGAAATATATCAGTACCTTGGAGGTAAACTGCACTGTCATTCTAGTCTACTTTTCAGTAGAGCAGATTGAATGTTGTTTGGACACTTTGTGCTCCATAATTACATAATATATACATTACGACAAGAAATGCAGTTGGACACTCAATTATTGTCACAATATTTATGTATTGTTTACTAATCTAATAAAACTTCCTATTTTTTGATTTTGTACGGAAGCTCGGTTTATGATTCAAAATAGAAACCGGTTAGGTGGTAGATTTCATTTTGCTAGGAGAATTAGCAGTAACAACTATCAATGAAGAAGAGCAACATTATCACCCTAGAAAATCTAACACAACATGTGAATGTGTACTAATGGACTTCTTAAAAATACATGATCTGGTTTGGACACTGCCTGCTTAAAAAATCCAAACCGATCTACTTAAGAGCGCAAAATAGCATTTATGTTTAAACCAGTAATGTGTTCCATGAGATAGAATATTAAAAAGTCAGATTCAAATTTCAAGGCCATTTTGCTCTAAGTCAAACCGTTTGGAGGTTATAAGCAAAGACCCAAAAACCTTATTTTTAAAATAGCGGTAACAAAATAGTTGTAAGTAAACACATACCGATACTGACAAAAATTACTCACAATAAATAATATAAGGGGTTTTTTATAAAAAAAAAATAAAGCTTTATTCTGTCGCACTTTTTTAAAAATTGTGCCGTTTAGTGTTTTCTATATTTTTGATATATTCGAAAAAATGGTGTTAGTAGTGTCAGATCAAGTTTCAAACACCAAACTTCTTAAAAATTCTGTATTTTGAAATTATGTAATAGAAAGATAATAGAATAATTTTGCTTTTCATATGTTTCTTAACTAGTTAGAGACATGAATAACTAGGAGAAAAGTGCAAACGATATTTAATTCATAATCTAATCTTGAAGAAATCTCCAATGTCCCAACAGATGCAGAAAGTTCGTTCCAATGTGGACACATTTTTCTATTTTGGAGATATGATGGAGACTTAAATAGTCTAGATTTTTTCCTAAGGGGCATCTCAAATCTATAGTGTATTCGAGATCAATGAATATTGTTGATAACTTATGAAATCTAATACTCCAAGGGTGTTCGAAAGAATACAGGCATCAATGAGAAGAAGAGCGGAAGTATGTACAAGGATTGAAGGAGGTTACCTTGTACAATTTTTGAACGTAGTTTTCTTGTTGTGGTTATTATTTAGATTTTATGTATTGTAGTAAATCATTGTTACAAAAACCGGGCACTATCAGTTTTAGTCACTGATCTGTATTATTTTACTGGATAGGATATAGCCCACTGATCTGTATTATTTTACTGGATAGGATATAGCCCCCTAAAAAACGTTCCGAAAAATTGGCCGATTTGGGCAAATAATATGGCGGACCGGATGTTATTTAACGTAACCTCTATTTCCATTTGTCATTTAATTGTGTCAACAAGCTACGATAAGATGTTTTTATTGTGGAAAACAAAGTAAAAAGAGTATGAAATAAACAATAAACGTTCATTCCTGAAGACACAATATGCTTCACGTTTCCATTTTTATATTTTCTTTGATAAAAAATCAAATCATATGGGTGAAATTTCCCGAAGGATATCGCCCGCAAAAGGAATAGAAGAAGAATAAGAAAAACTAATCAAATTATAGGTTAGGTATGTCAAATTATCCCAAATTTCAGTTCTGTGAACCCACCATAATTTGCCCAAATCGGCCAGCAATGTTGCACTTCCGGTCTCCTTGGTGGAACCATTTTTTAGTATGTTAAGTATAGCCTATATCCTATCCAGTAAAATAATACAGATCAGTGATATAGCCCCCTAAAAAACGTTCCGAAAAATTGGCCGATTTGGGCAAATAATATGGCGGACCGGATGTTATTTAACATAACCTATATTTCCATTTGTCATCACATTTGTCATTTAATTGTGTCAACAAGCTACGATGAGATGTTTTTATTGTGGAAATCAAAGTAAAAAGAGTATGAAATAAACAATAAACGTTCATTCCTGAAGACACAATATGCTTCACGTTTCCATTTTTATATTTTCTTTCATAAAAAATCAAATCATGGGTGAAATTTCCCGAAGGACACCGCCCGCAAAAGGAATAGAAGAAGAATAAGAAGAAAAACTAATTAAATTATAGGTTAGGTATGTCAAATTATCCCAAATTTCAGTTCTGTGAACCCACCATAATTTGCCCAAATCGGCCAGCATTGTTGCACTTCCGGTCTCCTTGGTAGAACGATTTTTTAGTATGTTAAATATAGCCTATATCCTATCCAGTAAAATAATACAGATCAGTGGTTTTAGTATATAACAGACAGTGGTAAATAAACTAAAAATTTTACATTCATTTAGTGATTTACAGAAATTCTTTTTTTAAACGGCCTCAGATACAAAAAAAAAATTAATATATCAAATAGTTTCTGAGCATTAAGGTATAAGCCCGACAGCGTAACCTAGATTCCAAATTTGAGGTATATATCTCAAAAATTGCAAGAGCTATAAAAAAAATCAAAAAATCTTGGACATTTCAACACCCTGTACATTGGTTACAAAGTATTTGATGTTTAATGAATTTTTAGTCATGAAATAAGCCAAGAAATTCTTTCCATATGCACATAATATTTATATAACGCAAAATACCAAGGGGTAGGAATTTCTTAAATTTGGTTTTAAGTGATTTGGCAACTGACGGGTCATTTATAAATCAGCAAGTGATACCAAATATGTTGGGTACTGCAAGGGTATCAAGATAAAACTATCGTAGTTTCCAGATATTCAATATGATATACCTAACACTGATGACATTCAATTCTTAATGTTAAAAAAAAAATTCTAGGTTAGGATAATATGAGTCTGAACTGGTGGGATATTGATTGGCCACTTTTGAAAGTGACTGCCAACACTAGTTTTAAGCTTCTTTTAAGGTCACTAACGTATTTTAATTTTACTAATCTAATGATTGTATTTGAGATCTTAATTGTTGATTTTATTTCAGGTCAACCAATGGTTAACATGGTTGCAGGAAGCGGAATCTGAAGAGGAAGAAGGAGATGATTAAATAGAAATTATAAAAAATAAGTGGCGTGATTTTCACATAAATAGTAGAAAGAAGTTTAAAAATAATTTAAGTTATTAAAAAGCAACACGTGGGAGTGGAATCCTCCTTTTATTATTATTACTTCACTAGTTTTTTGTCTCGATGAAAAATTTCCCGTCTCTAAGATATAGTTTTTGTTTTTCTTTTTTACTTAGACTTAGAATGCGGTAATGGACATTTCTATTTATTGTTTATCACTATCGCTCAGGACCGGACTGGAAATGTATTCGGGCTGTGAAATTGACTTCATAAAGAAGTAGTAGAGTTTTCAAAATGTAAAACGTAAATGAAAAAAGTGACACGTTTTGATCGCTTGATAACATTTTATATACATATTCAGAATTTTAAATCCATTTTGAACAGTACCAGTTTCATTCTGAAGTGTTTTTAACATAGTGGATTTGATTTGAGATTAGATTACTAAGACTAATTTAGACATTTTTATACATTTGATGCCAATTTTATTCTTGAGACAAATCTTCTTTGTTGGGACATTTTAACCAAGAAGAATTTATTGAGCCTGGTACTTCACAAAATGAATCGTTTATTACAATTATTATTAGAAATCCATTTCTTATCACTGCCCGCAGAACTTTTGTTTTGACAAAAAGGTATTCAGTAAGGTTAATCATTACAGAACTTTGTATTTTAAAAAGATTAAGTTGGCGTTTTCATGCCAAATTTTAACTCTGTTCTAATTTTTTATTATGAGCCTTCTGCATAGCTACAAAAGTAACAGAATTTGACCTTTGAATTGGAATACAAAAAATATATATTTTAAAAGAACGCAGAACTTCTCAAAATGTGTGACTTCTGTAGACCACAAAAGGTAAAAATGATTCACGTGGGTCAATAAAAATCAGAACTAAGGGTAAAACTACAAAGGCAACAGTAAACGACTGCTTCTATATGTTGTCATACTGAACATTTTTAAGTTATTTCAAAGTTCTGAAAGCTCTACTATTTACTGCCGGCTTAATGAGTTCCGGCCCCAGAACGGACACCTGACCCGGTTTTTAGCCAAATAAAGGACGCAGAAATTTTTTGCGAGAATCTAGGTTGAATTTTTTTTTTAGTTCGTAATTTTTTGCGTTTACGGTGGACGATTTTTATGATTTTCTCCAAGTCTTAAAAGGACTCCTAGTGGAATTTATATGATGAATGAGTTTAGTCAGTCGTATAGATACATTTTTCCTTGTGGCAGATATTTTATTTTCAGTGGATTGATTAGTTGAAAATAGATCTGTGTAAAAGCACTAGTGCAGTTTTGTTGCAACGTTTTCAGGGTTATAGATTACCATACATTCTGAAGGATTTGATATGTTTTTAATGGGATCGAACAATTACAGACATTTAAATCCAGTAACATCACAATGACTGGCGTTTTCGTGTCAGTTTCAAAAGCACAATAATGTCCTATCACATGTATAAAATCCTTCATTTATTTCTTGAACTCTTATTTGGGACGAGACTGTGCTAGTTTGTTATCCATACAGATGTCTGTTGAAAAATAAGCTTTTTATTCTGTAATACTTTTATATATAAAAAGATGTGTTCTATTTTTTTGTGTAACTCGTGTCCAAGTAATGTATTTTCTCAAGTATTTTTTTTTTGTTATAAAATAGTTAATTTTTTTTTCTGTATCCTTAGGTTACTTAATGTGTCACTAAAAAACTAAAACAATTATATTGTGAAATTTTGTGTTAAATAAATTATTCGATGGTATTTTGCTATCGATATCAATTTTATAGGCTTTTATTTTTAATAACTAAACCTATGGCGGCTCTGGATTTTGCTCATTAGTTCCAGTAGTTTGTAATTTTTATTCACAGAATACGATTGAACTTTTTCGGAATTTTCGTCTGTCTGATCGAACATCACAGACTCACTTTTAACGCAAGACTTTTCCTATAATTTTTGATGTCAAAATTAATTTAATTTGATAACACGTGTTAACTAATGTGATTGTCCATATTCCGGATATTAAAAGTTGTATTCAATAGATTATTATATTACAAATTAATAAAATATGACCGCTAAGTTAATTATAAAAGCAATGACAAGCTTTTCTAGCTAGAATGAGTTTCAGCTATTTACTAGTCAAGTACATGATGTAGAATTATTGAGTATTAATCATTTAAAAGTAGTGATGGATCGCTTTGAAAAGTTCAACGGACTAGTCCAAACATACTTTTCAAAAGTGCGTTGCGCATGCGCGAAATTAAAATAACTAATTTGTTTGAATTTCTTACAAACAAAAGCAAAATATAGTATAAAAAAGAGGAAACGACAAATGATTACTGACTTTTATGTTTTAACGAAGTTTTCGAATTTTCGTTTCAAATCTTATAGCAGAAGTTGAAAAGGCTTTTTTTGCCAATTCTCCCACTTTATACACATAAATTGACAGGTTTGCGGCGGATCTCGCCGAAGTGGATGCGATACATTGGCGTACAAAATTAGTTTATAGATGTTAACAATTTCGAGTAAATAGTTTAATAAATTGTGAATAGCTGTTGAAATTTTGTAAAATTATGATTTGAATATTATATACATGTTTAATAATTATTTATAGTCACTGGCAGGTAAACATTACTTCGAAATTCTCGAAGCCGTCCGACGTGGTTTGACGTTTACCCCCTCTCTACCTACCAAAGTCTTTCCAACTTTTACTTTCGCTTTAAAATAAACACATGAAAAAATTACCAAAAAAAACGAAAATGCAGATGCAAATATGGTTCCCACAGTGTTTTTGAAAAACACCCAGTTTGTAGATTTAACTGCGTTTTTTCTATGCCCAAGGTCTACTTTTCATTGTTTTTCACATGTCCGTCGGACTAGTCCAAAAATTACTTTTCATAAAAAGCCCCATCACTATTTAAAAGTATAGGAATATTGTGAGGCATATAATTAGTGGTAAGTCGCTTGGACAAGTCGGACAGACTAGTCTGAAAAGTTGATTAGTCCAAAAACTTCTTACAAAGGCAAAATATATAGAAAAAACACTACTCAAATGGGAAATTCCTAATATTGAAAACAATTATTTTTTTATTCATTAACCAATTAGATTCAGCAAAAAAACTTGTGGAGGGAGCAGCTCTGCAACTTTCCTTATGTAAATTTAAAACGGGTAATAACTATGTTGTAGTAGTAGTTTTTCTAGATTTAAAGAGAGCTTTTGTGTTGTGTTTTAAAATGATTTACTAATTATTTGGAAGAAAACAGAGTAAGTCATAATAATATATCTGCTGCAAATGATTGGTATACCCCAAGGTAGCGTCATAGGGCCACTTTTATTTATCTTATATATAAATTATTTAAAACTCTTTGTTGATTGTGATTTTACAAATATTTGCAGATGATTCTTTAATGTCTTGTAGAAATAATAATTTGGAAAATGCGGTACAAATAATCAATCCGGCTCTAATTTGCGCCAATATTTATTTAATGTATAATAAACCAAAGCTACCATAACTACTAAATATAAAAAAACAATATAGATTTAAATGTAATTAATTTTACAATAACGATGAGAAAATATTGTCTAAACCTTGGTTTTCAACTTGATAATTTTTTATTGTTTAGTGAACATTTTAATTGTAAAAAAAATATATTGAAGAAACTTTACTTTTTTGCAAGAATATCAAAAAACCTATCAGTTCAAAACTAAAATTACAGTTTATCGTTCAATTATTCAACCACACTTGGATTATTGTTCATCGGTTATCTTCCTTTTTAACCTATATAAAGGAACGACATAGTTACAAAAACTGAAAAATCGTGGTATAAGGATTATATTGAAATGTAGCAAATATACTTCAATGTATTTCGGTTTACCAGAGATTATATACTATTTGACTATGGCATTTGTATATAAAATAATAAATGGTCTGGCACCACCTTATTTTTGAGAATACATTAATTTTAACAGTAATATTCATAACTACTCTACCGGAAATAACTAACTTTCATATAGAACAAATAAAAGAATTCCTTATTTTTCAAATTCTTTGACCATTACAACAAATTGCCGTTTTGTATTAAAGCTAGTTCGTCAGTAACAGGTTTTAAAAATAAAATAATGAAACATGTTCATGATTCATGGGATAAGTGTAAATGTAAATTAAATATTCTAAAATATTTCAATAAAAAAATATTTGATGGTGTCTATCGGTATATTTTAGACTTTTGAATTTTTATATTTTTTTTACATTTGAATTCGAGTGTTGTTTTTTGTAACATATTTAAAAAATATATATATTAGGGTTACCTACTTCAATAAAGATATTTCTATTTTTTCCAATGGCCAACACTGTGGGCATTGATCCCATCTCAAAACATATTTATACAGGGTGTCTGGAAATTGCGTGTACATGGAGATACCATAGATTTATGAATTCAAAATAAGTTGATTTATCCAAAATTACCTATATAAAAATTTGCTCTATCTGGTCGGTAGAGGTTAACAAAATTTAACAAAAATATCTGTTTTTTATCTCCAGAATTCAGCCATTTTAAACGATCAAACTTGGTAGGAATACTAGGTGTTTTATGGTCAATTGAAAGCAACAGGAACAATTTTGCTATTGCTATTTTTCAAAATTTTTGTATGTCACTGATATTTTTTGCATTAAAATAGGAAACTGGAGTTTTTACTTAGAAAAAATTACTCTTTGCGACTCTTTAGTCTTATCAAGATTCAATCACTCCGATATTGTGTATGGCCCAGCCATAAATAAAAATGAATGCAGGCGTCTTCAGCTGGTTCAAAACTCGTGCGTTTGGCTTATTTGTGGTATTCGTAGACGAAATAGAATCTCACCTAGTTTAAAACAGATCGGCTGGCTTAATTTAAAACAAAGGCGTTTCCTCCACTGCTGCGTTTTCTATCACAAATTAATTGTTACTAAAATTCCAACATATCTTTATAAAAAAGTCCAATTTCGATATCAAGCACACTCACTAAACCTCAGATTTACTAAATCATTGTCCATTCCCAAACACAGAACTGCTCTTTTTAAATCCTCCTCCTATTGCATATCCCAGTATTATAACTCTCTACCTAATTTTTTTAAATCATTATCATTGGTTAATTTTAAAAAAAGGTTAAAACATCTAATTCTGAGTAACAGTTTCCCTATCTAAACATGATGAATTTGATATCGTACATGGAGTTGTGAATTTGTCAGTTACTTGTTTCAGTTTTTTGTTTATGACTAATTTTTAATTATTGCTCAAATTTTTTATATTATATAATATTTTATATTGCTTAATTAGTTTATTGGTAAAAAAAAATTCTGTATCTAGTTAATGTATATTATAATGTATACTTTTTTGTTAAGTGGAAGACGCTCTTCTTCATTCTGATTTTTTTTTTTCAGATTGAAGAAAGCGAACTTTGCCTGTTGCTCTACAGGATACCTTGTATTTAACATATTTTAAGTTATGTATTTTAATGTTTTGTAAAGGCCTGTATCAATAAAATCGTTATTATTATTATTATTATTATTAAAAGTTAAGCGCCAGCTAATGTACTATCAAAAAAATATAATTTGAGAATTTATAATTTCTGCCCCAAACGTTCACCTTCTCAGGATTGGATTGGCCTCATCATCCAATCTGGATTTTCTGAAATCCAGAATCTACACTTCTGCTTATGGACTGTTCCTTTTAAAATAAGTGTTGCTTCATCAGAGAAAAGAATGTGTTTATCAATAACCTCTGCAATAACGTACCTGCTTGGCATATCTAGCAAGGGGCGCATATACGGGGGGTAATAATTACCCCTTCCCAAGAATTTTTAAACCTAACTCTAGGTACTAAAATGTATTATCAGAAATAAAGTCTTAACTATTACCACTACTTCCCCAGACTTAACGACTTTAATACCACTACTACCCCTGTCACCATGCTCGAAGCTGTCACCCCGACCTAAACTCTGCATGCGCCACTGCATCTAGCTGTCATAATTTTGTAAAATTCCTGTCGACGATAAGGATCATCGTTAAGTTCTTAAACCAAATGAATTTTATATTGGTGATAGGAAACGGAACATATGGTGAATTATCTTAAATCTCTAACAGTATATCAAATTTTTCTTATCGGATACAATGCGTTTCTTACCAAATTTAGGAATATCGTGTGACATTTTAAAATTCACAAAATTTGTTTTCTATGCTCCACTAACCTTAGACTGAGAAATGCGACGGCCAGGATACATTTAGTATTGAAGATTTCGCATACCTGCTTCTGGGTTTTTTTTTTATTACCTCATCCCAATAATGTCAAAATTTTTATTTTTTTGCTTAACAGAAAGACTCATTGTTAAAATAATGATCAACTGGACAATCAGCTATAAATAACTAGAATGATAGTTATACACGTTATGTTTGTACATAGGGACTTAAATAAACACGCTCTTTGTTGCGGCGCTACTGAGCATGCGCATTGAGTCGTTTTCAGACGATGCTACAAAAGGAGAAGCGAAACTAACTGTCGGTGCCTTTGATGTCGGCTGGACCTTCTTCTCTGCATGAATATTATCAATACACAACTTAATGCTCTGAGGAAACCTGCTTATTTTCTACACTGAGCAAAATTGCTTAGCAAATTATCTGAAATTATTGTAATAGTCCACGCGCAAATGTTATAATGTGATTTATTTATTGAGGTAGTTAGGGTAAACAATAGCAATAGTGAGATTTCGGCACCAAAATATAATTCCGTATGTA